CCCATCCATATACTGGAGGTAGGTGAATTGGCCCAGTGACTGTTAACATTTTGGGAGGGTCACATACCTCTTTGAGAAACTGGAAAGTATCTCTCAGACAAAAAGCACATACACAGAGAAATTTACCTACAATGTCAAAGGGCTCCTGTTAAACCCTCACAGATCCTAAACTAAGAACCACTGGGCTCTATGACCTCTGATGTCCTTTCTGGGATTATGACTCTGAGACCTATGTCTGAGTGACATGCCTACAGGGTGATGATCCTTAGAAAGTCCTCTAGATGGGTTGGGGACATTATGTTTTGGGTGAACCTCCTCAAGGAGGCCAGTCAGACTTGACACCAGTCAGCATCAGGAGCAGAAACCCTGGCAGGGCTAAGGGACATCAAGGTGCAAGCACAATGGTCAGTGTGAGCTGGCACTCGGCCCGGGGGACTAGGGCAGTGGAGGGGAGAGAATGCTATGGGAAGCGCCAGTGTGGAAGGCGTGGTGCCTTCCAGCTTTAGTCAGTGGTAGTCAGTGGCTGCCATGGGGAGCGGGGGCCCAGGGGGGTCAGCTCTCTATTTTTCAATAGAAGTTTTAGATCTGGGTTTAGAAACCTCTTCTCAAATGATGACAATCAACAGTTTTTGAAAACACTGTGGGCCAACAGTTTGTGAGTTGCCTACATGGTCCAGACGGCCAGGCTGAAGATGGAGAAACTGGGGCTAAGAGGAGAGGAGACCCGAGTTCCTCTATTCTCTGCTCTCTCATGTGAGTCAGGTTTTCATCTCTATGATAGTAACAGAGCCACTGTGTACAGCCACTGCCTAATCCTCCCACTGTTATTAGAATGGCAATGAATCTCCTGAAGTCTTACACTAGTGAAGGCGGCAGAGCAGGCTCCATGCTTCTCCAACCACATTGCCCTAAGAGGAATGTCAGTGACTTCTCAGGGAGCCCCAAGGCCCTGACTGTGCCCACTCTGGGAACGGTCCCACCTGGATGGACACTAGTTCTCTAATCCAATTAAATCCCGGCATCTCAGAGCTTTAGTAATCCAGAGTTGGCTGGAGCATTGCCTGGAAACTGGTCAAGCAGTAGCTTGGGGAGTTGGGAGGAACAATGTCTGGGGGTCCCCAACCCCCTGACTCTGCTGCCTTTCACTTCCACCCTAAATGCTTTGGCTCCCTGGTCCGTGCCCCATCCATCTACTCCAAGGTTGGCATAGAGATGAATGTGGCTTTGCCCCGGAAGTAGAGGGGTGGCCAACACCTTTCACTCTTCATGTTTTTCTCTCTCCACCCACCTATGGAGATCACACTTCTGAGTTACCTGGGGCACCTTCTGGCCCCCTCTCCCGTGTAAGATTCTTGCTCCTGGACACCACAACCCATAAATTCTTTAGGTCTGGGGAAACAATTCTTTCGATTGCAGAGGAAATCAGGAAGGCTGGTCAAGAGCAATGCCATGTGGTAACGGAGGACCCCTTCCTGAGATCAGTTTGAGATGGGGCCCCAATATTTTATATAGGGTGTTGTGGTGGGATGGTTACCCCTGGCTTCAAGCCCCATCTCAATTCGTCTGTGTAATCTTGGCTTTAAGATCACCCACTCTACTGACTTCTACAGAAACAAAGGTAGAAAGGAAAACTCTTACTGGGGACAAAGGAAAGTGTCCCAGGGGAGATGAAATTTGGATTAGGTTTGAAGTTAGGATTTGAAGTTAGGACCTTCACATGCAGTGCTGGGCTTTGGAGGAAGGTCCACTACTCATCACCCTCATCAGCTGTGTGGCCTTAGGCAAGCGACTTAACTTCTGTGAACCTGTTTTCTCGTCTGTAAAATGAGACTGATTATATCAATGGAATTTGATTGTTTTCAAGATCGTAAATGATAATGCAACATCTTTACTCGGAAGCAAGAGCTTTTGTAGTGATTTAATAAGGCCACTTGACCTGTTACCCTGTGAAGATGGCAGGTATTCCAAATACTGACTTCAATTAGAGCATCACATGGAGCTCCATTCTCTTGCTTTGTGGATGGATTTTTTTTGTTCAGGGTCCAAAGCCACTCCCTCCTACACCATGCCCAGTGGGAAGGTGGCCAGTCAGAAATTTACCTGAGTCTTTTTAGGTATAGGAAAGAAAAGAAGCCAGACTTCAGGAAGGAGAAGGTGAGAGAGGAAGGGAACAGGGAGGGTTCCAAATCTTGCAACAGTTAAATGTTAATATAGGTGTCGGCATAGGAAGTGTCTTCTAATGACAGAAGGAAGCGAGGGAGTTTTTCAATCATCTCCTGCTTAACAGATACAGATGTATTCATAATTATCCCTTGCCTCGGGCCTCGAGGCCCAGGTGGGCTCCAGAAGGCCTGTGTTCCTGCCAGACAAGAGTCCTTAAAGAACATCATGTAGACAATTGGAATGCCATTTATCGTGCAAAACACAATAAAACCTTGAGCTCTCTTCCTGTCTCAGAGACCCATAAATTATGAAAATTATACCTGCCCTAGGCCATGGACATATTGTTTTATTAAAGTTCCGATGAATAAACTTAAGGCTCTTAAAAACTTCTTCTCAGCTTTCATCTGGCACACACCTCTAGCACAGAGCTGTCTGCCCGGGTTCTTTTGATTAGTTCACAAATGCTTTGGAAAA